GGAAGGAACACCCCATGAGTCATGGCAATTTACATATATTAAAAAGAAAAAGAAATGATGGAGAGCCATGACCGCTTACGTCCTCAAGAGCATGTCATTTAAAAAACGCCGTAAAGCCCAAGGAAGTATCATCCAGTGGAAATAAATATCGCGGTCTGTGACAAATTCATTTTTTACGGTTTATCAACCATTTGCAGGTTATTTAAAGACAAAATATTTTTAGATAGTAGGAGTTTTTTTTTTGCGGGAGTGGGTAGATAATAATGATTTAGTAATAGAAGTCTTACTAATTAACCTATAGCTGAGGGGAGAAGTGGTGGTTTAATATCTTTATCTGCGCGTAAGTTAACCGACTGGACTTGGAACTTGGCTCTCCAATTAACAATTCTATTACACCACCCGCAGATCACAGCCACTGGTATTCCCAAGTGGTCGCCCATCTAAATACTGACCAGGTTCGACATAAAACTACGTTGATCGTACAGGAACCGGTTTTTTCTACGTGATGTCTGACCCGGTAATTATTAAAACTTTTTGTAATGTTAATCGCCTATATATATATATATATATATATATATATATATATATATATATATATATATATTATGAAATGGACAAAGTGCGACAATTGTTTTAGGACATTTTTATGTCTATACATTCTTTTATAGATAACAATATTTAAGTAAATGGTCTGTTCTATAATAAACAGTATTAAACAACATTTACCGGCCTGAATGTCCGAAAAATTTTCATAGAAAATATCCTGTCGGAGGACGAATATTTTCTATGAAAACTGATATTGAGCGCTTTCCAATAAGTACCACGCATATATAATATATAAATAATATATATAAAAATTGCATATATATATATGAATTGCATATATATATATATATGTATATATATATAAAAAAATTCAGAGTTGTCCTCCTAGATCAGTTGTCATCGAAGGCTATAGAACCCAGTCTGTCCCGCTATTTACCCATATATATATATATATATATATATATATATATATATATATATATATATATATATATATATATATGTGTGTTTGTAAAATATTTGTATATATATATTATAAATTAACTGATTTAAAATATGTTTTTTTTTCGCTACACAGTTCTAACCATGTTTCAAAAATGGAAGCTAAAAGCTTGAATTTAATTTTGTAATTAAATTAAAGACATTAGTTCCATTTCATCCTCAAGCGAATTCTAAATCTTTATTTACACACACACACACACACACACACACACATATATATATATATATATATATATATATATATATTATAAATTTACTAATCTGAAAATCCGTAGATTTGCATTAAGCACTGTTTTGTAAAAATACAAATATTAAAAAGAACACCGCATTATATATATTATTGTTCTTTCTTTTTATTATAATACAAACACAAACATTCACACACACACACACACACATACACACACACACACACACATATATATATATATATATATATATACAAAGAAATAATCACACATAGAATCAATCAGCAATATTAATGCTTATTATTGAGTGATTATTTCTTTGTATATAAATTATATGCTGCCTAATGTTTTATCTATCTATCTATCTATCTATCTATCTATCTATCTATCTATCTATCTCTCTCTCTCTCTCTCTCTCTCTCTCTATATATATATATATATATATATATATAATATATATTTAAGAAAAAGTTGTGAATAAAAGGATAAAGAGATTTATAAAAAAAAGTCTTTTAATAGTGTCATCGTCATCGAAAATTAAGTGATAATGAATGACAAAAAAGTACTTAACTTGTTGCCAAGCAATATATTATACCTTGAAAACCTTATACAAAAAACAAAAAAAACAAAAAAAAACGAAAAAAATATCGAAAACAAAACAACAAAAAACAGTAGGCAACTTCATATTATCCTGGAGACTCACACACGCACTCAAACAGGGGTACAAATCCCTTGAGTATATACACATTCCAATCAATTTAAGAGCAGGGTATAATATACTCACTTAAATCGATTTTATTCCAGTGTATGGTTGCAATATTTTGTTTCTTTTACATCTGTGTTTTTCTTTATTTCTTTTTTCAAAATACTCTGTTGCTTTTTTCTAGATGTAGCGTTTTCTACTCATACGTCATACGTTAATGTTGTCATGACGATGACACCTCGCGACAACGACTACTACTACTACTACTACTACTACTACTACCACGAATTAAAAAAAATTACTGTAAATATATATAGTTAATTTAATTTTGAAACCTCGGGCGAAAGTTCTAGTATACTTATCCGCCAAGTACAACTCGACATACCGGCGCGTACTACCCCGAAACTCCCCGACTGGGAAGAGGTGCCCGATTGGGGGGTTTGGTTACCTTTGCTATCTTATCAACATTTGTCTTTTTCTACCTAAATTTATTTCCGTTACAAATTAAATTAAACACAACTATTAAAAGATGAAAATTTCTGAGGATTTTGACATCATTCTGGTGTTTTTCTTTCGTCCAAATTCGTGAATTTGATTTGTTATATTAAAAGAGTAATGGGTAGCGGCTTGGATTGAGAAATCGGAGAGCCGAGATCGAATTCCAGTCGAATCCATTTACATTCACTTACGTGCTAATACGCTTTGGAAAGGTATGAATCCTTTTCTTCTCCCCACAGGGTAAATAGCAGGACATACCGGGTTCTAAAGCCTTGGATAGCAACTGGTCTACCGCAGAATTAATGGTAACCTACTGCGGGAAAAAGTCTGCCTCGAAAGATACATGATCGCCTAAGCGTGTATCTCGCATGGCACATAACTGACTGACTGAATGCTAAGGAAGAAAACACCATGTAAAATTCACTAATTTTATTCAGGCCGGTAGGCGAAAATAAATAAATATACTGTTTAATGTACAAAAAATAACATTCAAAGAGAAAATATGGCCTTTAAGGAATTGTGTTTTTGATCAATTCACTTTTTTTTTTTAAAGCGTTTCACCCCAAGCAAGGCGGGAAGCCACTAGGACGCAAGGGGTTACAGAAGATTTGGAGCAAGATCAAATAGGAGTGATAGAAGAAAGGATGAGGAGAAGAATAGTGGATAGATCAAGGCAAATTGAGATGTCGATTGACATTACATTTGAATAGTTGGAGATTATAGCTCTCAGGGAAACTAGAATAGGGAAGGGAGTTCCACAGGCGAGAGGTGCGAGACATGAAGCTATTGGAGTAGAAGAGACGGCTACATTTAGTAGTTTCGAAAGGGTGAGAGCGGGATGCCAGCCTCGTAAGGCGCTTGAACTCATGAAGTCTGGGAACCAGCGAATGCAGCTCCTCGGAGCAATTGCCATGAAAGTATTTGTAAAAAAGACAGAGAGAGGCGACGGCGCGTCTGTGAGAGTGTGACTGCAGACGAGATGCCAGAACAGGGCCAGTTATATTGCATACCCGCCTCTGGATCTTATCAAGAACCCCAGGGCAAAGAGAAGGGGCTCCAGACCATATATGGCAGCAATACTCCATGCAAGGGCGAATTCTTGATTTGTAGATCTGGAGGATCGATTCCGGGGAGAAAAATTTCCTGGCGCAGCACAGGGAGCCAACTTTCCTTGCGGTGGACGAGGCTATTGACTCAATGTATTTGTTCCATCTCAGGTCAGCAATCAACGTCAGACCGAGCAGCCGCAGAGAGTTGCTCTCGAGAAGTTGAGCGTCAGACATTCTAATGGAGGACAGGGAAGGATATCTGTGGTGATTAATAGAGAGCAGTTTTGTTTTTTCATAAATAATTATATTGGATATGCTACAACATGACTAACAAGAAAACTCACAATTCATCTCTGAATGTAGCTCAATTAGGCCTCATTTAAATACAAATAGAGACCTACCAATCTCTTCGTCCTGGATATGACGATAAACTACATCCGCGTCCTGGGTAAGACGATAAACTACGTCCAACAGCAAGACCTCTCATCAGGAGTTTTTGAGGAGCGTGGAACCACTACTTAATTGCTGGTGTTCTCAGGTCCACCGTAACCCGGGGTGATAGCACCTGTTAGGGTCCCAGCTATGGGCAAATAGTTGACCCTGAAACTGAGGTAAAAAGCAGTGAAAGTGTAAAAATACGTTTTAATACCAGAAATACTTTATAAAAATTATTACCAGAAATAAATTTTTGAAGAAAAATAACTATTACCAGCAATACGTTTTTTTTAAAAAAAAAATATTACCAGCAATACATTTTTTTTAAATGATATTACCAGGGGTGGTAGTACCTGTAAGGGTCCCAGCTTTGGGCAAATAGTTAACATCCAAATTTGTGTAAAAATAGGTTCTAATACTAGAAATATTTTTGTAATAAAAAAAAATTATTACCAGCAATAATTTTGAAGGAAGAATTATTATCAGCAATACTTTTTTCAAAAAAATACCAGTAATACAAACAGCTATACATTCTTTTGAAAAAATATGACCAGCTATAGATTTCTTCAAGGAAAATATTCCCAGAAATAGATTTTTGAAGAAAACATTACCGGTAATAAAAAATTTTTTCATTATTAAATAACCCATTGAGGTTGATATGCCGTAAACCAAACCAAACCAAACCAAACCAGAACTACCAAACTCTATCCATAACTTACTCATTGAGAAATATAAATATAATAACCTCATCCACATGTTAAAAAAGACTAAAAAATAATGGAAGCATTACTAAAAAAATAAAAAAAAATAATATGAACATGGCCACTATGTGCTGACCGTGTTTGTAAAAATTCCTGTAGCCCTAGATACCTACATAAAACAATCCATGCATCTAGTTAAATGTAAAAATAAAATAATCCTTGATAATGGTTAAAAGTATAGCCTTTTGGCTATACTTTTAACCATTGGACATAAAAAAACATTTGGATAGTTACTACGTGATTTATGTCTAGAGAAGAAAATTGTAAGAACACAAGAAAATTTAAATAAAAACTTAACTGCAGTCATATTTATTGAAAGGTCTATCTATCTATTTCTGGTCTATCTATCTATCTATCTATCTATCTATCTATCTATCTATATATATATATACACAATTTTTTAAAAGATTTCTTAACAATTCAGGTCGGTAGAGGAAAATAAATAAACATAAATAAATACACTGGTTAAAAAAGCGGAGCGCATCCTCAAATAAGAATATCCACAAAATAACGCTTAAAGTATATATATATATATATATATATATATATATATATATTATATATATATACCTACGTTTGGATGTATGATTTAAATTTCGTTGTTCTATTCTAACAACTCATCAAGCGCGAAATATTATGATTTTCTAAAAAAAAATAAATAATAATAAATAATATTTTGTGCCTGATGAGTTGGCAGGACAACGAAACTTAAGTCGCACTCCAAACGGAGATATATGTATATTTATTAATATATATTTCTTAGCTCTGTATAACTACATTGAGCACTGTTTTGTTTACAGTTTACAGTAAATTTAGTAAATATTTATATATTCTCTTGCGTATGCTAGCATATACGGTTGCTAATATCTACTTATTTGATTTACCCACCTCTCTCTCTCTTTCTCTCTCTCTTCTCTCTCTCTCTCTCTCTCTATATCTATATATATATATATATATATATATATATATATATATTTGGTTGTATAGATGTGAGTTTGTGACCCTGGGTTTCACGCTATCTCTGATATTGAGCACTTTCTAATTAGTACCATATATAATATATAAATAATTATACATATATATATTTATTTATATTTATATACACTTTTCACACACACACACACACACACACACACACACACACACACACACACACACACACACACACACACACACACACACACATATATATATATATATATATATATATATATATATATAAAATGGATTAAATCCGAGAAATATTTTAATATATTCTCTGTTTATACGTTTATTATGGATACATTTAATTGAATAAATTCTTTTTTTTTTAATTAAACAGTATTAATTACATTTACCGGCCTGAATATTCATAGAAAGTTTGTGTTCTCTGAGGAGGGCATGGTGGAGTAATGGATAGCGGCTCGGATTGCGGAATCAGAGAGACAAGTTCGAATTCCAGTCGAATTCATTACATTCACTTACTTGCTTATACCCTTGGGAAAGATATGAATTCTTTTCTTCTCCCTCCAGCTATGGCTAGATAGCAAAACAGACAGACTTGGATGGTAACTGATCTACTGCAGAAAGAAGTGGCAACCCATTTGCGGAAAAAAAAAATTGTTCTTCAGTCAGGTATCGAAAGATACATGATCGCCTAAGCGTGTATCACGTATGGCACATAACTGACTGATAGGATGCAAGTTCGATTCCTTTTGAGAACGCATATTTTATACGAAATTTTCCGAACATTCCGAATACTGTTTACAAATAAGTGTATCCAATTAATAAAAAAATACGTATAAACAGAAAATATATCAAAATATTTCTTAGATTTAATCCATTTCATACAATATGTTGTCATTGTTTACATAATGCTATAAGTTCAGAACAGATACGATAGATCAAGTAAAATTGGTGAAGGTGTGTATTTATAACACTATTGGAATCTACTTTGAGCAATAAAAATGTATAATTTTATTTCCAAGCTTAACAGAAAAATCGTGATGAAATCGATCATAAACGAAAATGACATGTTCATCATAGCTAAGAGTCGGAAGATCATCAAGGATTAAAATGAAATTTATATATATATATATATATATATATATATATATATATATATATAAAGAAAGAACAGTAAGATTATATAATCCGGTGTTCTTATAGATATTTTTATTTTTACAAAATAGTGCTCAATGTAAATTTACAGAGCATTAATATTATAAATGAATTGATTTAAAATATGTTTTTTTTCGCTACACAGTTCTAACCATGTTTCAAAAACGGAAACTAAAAGCCACGAATTTAATTTTGCAATTAAATTAAAGACATTAGTTCCATTTCATCCTCAAGCGAATTATATATATATATATATATATATATATATATTCCAGGATAATTTTCCAACTTATTCAACTCGCTAACGTCTTAACTTTCTATCCTGAAGTAACATGTTACACGCACGATTTCATTTTCACGTCTTTTTCATTGCTCTTTGGACTGTCATAGCTGAAACTCCTCTTTCACGTGCCAAACGTTTTATCGATTGAGTTGGATCTTTTCTAATTGATCTCTTTAGCTCTAAATTGAAATGATGATCCCTCTCCCAGTTGTGATCTCCTGATCCAGTTTTCCTTTTTACTGTTCCCTCTTTTTTAAACTTATTCACTGTTCTCTTGATGGTTCTTGAATGGATTTTGGAGATGGAAGCCAGGGCATGAATGTTGGTACCATTACTGAAGACCTGAATGATCTTTTTCCTCTCACCATTGCTCAGTTGGGAAGACATAGTGGGGCTGACACAAAGCGATTTTAAACTGTTCTCTTTGTAGCTGAATAAATCAAAACTTTTTTTTCAGTGATTTTTACGAGGAATTGTATCAAGTCGGCTAAACATCTTATCTAAAAACCTGGAAAAAAGAAATTCAATTAGTTTCGTGTTTTTTTTTTAGAATATTAAATATTTTGTGAGATGGAAAATTATGCGGTTACACGATTTGGACAATTTTGCTGTTACATCCGGTTGGTGTTGACCAATTGTTGAAAATTTTATTACCTTGTTTTTGAAGTAAATAAATAATTTTCTGGTTTTACATCATGACTTCGCATTTTTTAAAAAGAAATAATAGATTCAATAACATTAATAAAACATGTTGAAACGCTTTAAAAGTTAACCTTAAGCTCTGTTTTGATAAATTAATCCTTTAAAATATGACAAAAATGTTCAAAGCAAATTCAAATTATTGAGGTTTATGATATTTGCATAATAACTTCAGACGAGCTTGTAGAGGGCCGTGGCGGTTACGGTTTGTTGATAGAAGTCAGACGTAGAAGAAACGCAAGGTTCAGATACTCCTGCCCGCCGAGCCCAACTACATAAAAAGGTTGGACTTTGATTAAGTCCAAAGAAGAAGGTAAAGAAAGCAAACAAAACAAGACCGATAATATATGTATACACAAATATATATTCATAACAAGTTACAATACAGGGAAACAGTACAAAGGACGAAGTGTGTGTGAATATTCTGTATGTGCGTGCGTGTGTATGTGTGTATTATGCTTAGCGTGTTTCCACGCTATCCCTTGCTAGCGCCTACATTTCGAGGTTGATAGTTGAAATCCTCTAGGAATAAGAGAAATTTACCTCGAGGTGTTGGTGCACAGGCCTGAAAGAAAAAAATGAGATAGAGGCGAAGGGTCATTGGCTATTTATAGCCAGGAAAGAGAGACCCCTGGTGAAAGGGTTACGAACTGAAGGAGGAGATAACTTCAGACGAGCTGTATTTATTTAATTCAAGAGAATTAATGGATTTATTTTTAAAAAGAAAATCCATTTTCTTTACTAAGATGTTTCAAATCCGCAGGCCGATATACATACAACGCATTGTTTAATAAATTATAAAAAATGGGCATCGATGAGAGAGGGTAAAAAAAAAAATTATAGGCTCACTATGAAGGAGTTTGGTTTGGCTTGTTTTGTTTTACGGCATATCAACCTCAATGGGTTCTTTAAAGCCAGCAATATTTTTAGGATTAGTTCGTATAAATAGAATATGTATTCCTTGGTCTATTTTCGTTTTTGTTTTATTTTACGACATATCAACCTTAATGGGTTCTTTAATGCTTGTTTCAAATGCTTGATTTTTAGGATTAGTTCGTATAAATAGCATATGTATTCTTTGGTTTATTTTTGTTTGTTTTGTTTTGTTTTACGGCATATCAACACCTCAATGGGTTATTTAATGCCGACAAGACTTTTAGGATTAGTTCGTACAAATAGAATATGTATTCCTTTGGTTTATTTTTATTTGTTTTGTTTTGTATTACGGCATATCAACACCTCAATGGGTTATTTAATGCCGACAAGATTTCTATTGTTGTTAATTTTTTTTTCAAAATGTATTTCTGGTAATAATTTTCACAAAAATGTATTGCTGGCAATATTTGTCCTTCAAAAATGTATTGCTGGTAATATTTTTTTCTTCAAAAATATATTGCTCGTAATAATTTCTTTATAAATATATATTGCTGGTATTAAAACCTATTTTTACAATTTTTTACATAGTGTTTTGAAACCAGCATGTGTTTCACTATTTGCCGATAGCTGGGACCCTTACAGATACTACCACCCCGGATCAGGGTGGACCTTGGCACACTATCAACTACGAGCTGGGTCCACGCTCTTCAAACCTCCTGATCAAAGGCCTTGCTGTCAGATGTAGTTTATTGTCATACCCAGGACGCAGATGCAGTTTATCGTCATACCCAGGATGCGGATGTAGTTTATCGTCATACCCAGGACGCGGATGCAGTTTATCATCATACCCAGGACGCAGGTGTAGTTTATCGTATTACCCAGGATGCGGACGCGGTTTATCATCATACCCAGGACGCGGATGCAGTTTATCGTCATACCCAGGACGCGGGTGTAGTTCATCGTCTTACCCAGGACGCGGGTGTAGTTCATCGTCTTACCCAGGATGTGCGTTTATCATCATACCCAGGATGCGGATGCAGTTTATCATCATACCCAGGACGCGGATGCAGTTTATCATCATACCCAGGACGCGGATGCAGTTTATCATCATACCCAGGATGCGGGTGCAGTTTATCGTCATACCCAGGACGAGGATGTAGTTTATCGTCATACACCGGACGACTATAAAGGAGTGATGCTAGGAAAAAATCTTTTTATATATAACGGCATTGTTTTTTTTTCCGGGTAAACTGACATGTTCAAAGACAACTTCAGAACTAAGTAGTACAGACGTGAAAAAGGACAAAGTTTGGCATCGTCGTGTTATCAAGAACCGACAACGATTATTGTTTTAAAAAAGCGATCATTAGAATTGCAATAAAACCTAATCATATAAAATTGAATCTATATATTTTGTTCTTGACAACGAAAATAATAAACACTATT